TATATTGATTATCTAAATTTAATTACTTTTTAATGTATATCTAAATTAAATATTTATTCTAATGTATAATTCTAATTTTACAAAAAAATTATCATAAAATAAAAAATATTATTACATTATAATATGAATGATTATTCTAATATATGAATTAACTATTTTTATTTTATTAAAAAATAATCATTAAATAAAAAATATTGATTATATTATAATATGAATTATCATTACAATTTTCAAACGTTATTATAAAGTCAAATTAAATTATAGATTTGAAATTTTAAATTAAATCATAATTAATCAGATCAGACCAGATCAGATCAGATCCAATCAGATCAGATCAGATCCAATCAGATCAGATCAGATCAGATCTAATCAGATCAGACCAGATCAGATCAGAACTTATTAGAATCAGATCAGATCAGAAAAAATAAGTTGAACGGAACAGAGCCTGAATCAAGGTAACTGATTTTTTTCTTACTTTATCTTCAACAATTTCCACACTATCTCTTCTGTGGTTCTCTTCATTGTGTACTCTATCTTTTATCAGCCTGCTACATACGGAGTAATCATTTTCGCATACCGATTTGAGAGCAACCAATATTGGGGTTTTGGGGGCTCTCTCGGCCTTGTAAGAGTGTGTGTCCGGGCGTTAGCTAGTACTTTTCTTAATTACCTACATTTCATTTTATTGTACTCTCTTCTCGAAGTTGTTTTTTACTCCCTCCATCTAAGTTGAAATCTCTCGTTTTGACTTGGCACGTCTTTTAATGTAGAATGAAAAAATTATCCAGTTTTGCCCTTTACCTTTTATCCTTCTTCCCACCCTATCTTCTGCTTTTCTTCGTCTTTCACATGGTTCATCATCATCATCTTCTTCTTCTTCTTCTTTATGGCAAAGACCATAGCAGTAGTAAGTATGACCTCTAGATCTTACCGGATGACCATATTCCTTATGCAGTACAACATGGTATTTCAAAAGTTTTATTATGTAGCCTGGTTGATTTGATTAATAAATGATGATAAACTTTTAGGAAAGCGATTACATGCCTACCAAAGAAGTACTGGGTTTAGGTTTTTTAAGTTGCATGGGTTTTTATTCTTAGTTATTCGTGTAACCCTTTGTTTTATTCTTTTTCTGGTTATCCATAAAATAAATTTTCATTTTATTATATGTATATTCGTTGGAACAAGGGATGTATATAATTTTTTAAATATCACAATCCCTTCAAACTAGTTATATTACTTTTGCCTTCTGTGTTGTTTTGTCTTCATTGAATCTCAGTAGATTCTTTCTTTCTTTGATGATGAATGCTTTAAAGTTAATTTTGTGATATACATTTTTCGTTTTTATTCTTCAGCATTTTAGAGGCTTGAGTTTTCCTACCATATCTTCTGTTGGTTCGAATGCGGCTATTATCCATTATTCACCTGTTGCTGAGACATGTGCTGAACTTGATCCAGATTCTATATACCTTTTTGATTCAGGAGCACAGGTTTCTTATCTCTGTTTTCTTATTTACGCCTTTTGTTGTCCTAAATGCAGCTACCATCCATTTTTCATTCATAGTTATGTTTACGACAATTCATTGCTCTCAATTGGCTTACCTTAGGCTATCGTACATTTTTTAATATTTATTGTCTTCTGTTGCTGAAGTATTTGGACGGAACAACTGATATCACCCGGACTGTTCACTTTGGAAAACCCACGCCACATGAGAAAGCTTGCTATACTGCGGTATGCTGAACTTTGATTTAATATCATTGGAAAAAAGCTTCATTTAACTGTGTGTAGTTGAACTGGAGATATAAGTATTTTCATTGATCCAAAAAGTAAGAAATGGAGCGTGATAATCATGAAGTTAGATGACTGTGTCAAGATAATTTTATTCCCCTTTCTTTCTTATTTTGATGCAGCCATCAATTTTATGGGTACTGTCGCACTACACAAAATAATTACTAAATTAGTATTTTCTTAAATGCATTAGGATGTCATACGATTTGCGAATTAATATATAGGCAGATCATTGAGTGGTTTGACTGGTTTCACGTCAATGCTCGAGTTGGTAGAACTTGATTTATGTATTAATTTCTTTGTCATCTAGATTCATCTAGATGGTCGGTGAATAGGCTATTACACATCTTATTATAGTCTGATTGACATCGCTACTAATAAAAGTTTCTGTGATAGTTGCAATTTCATTCCAAGTATGTGTAGTTTGAAGCAATTGCCCCTGTTTAAGTTTTACTTTCTAAAACACTTCATTCCTTTTATTGAATGCAATTAATGCACGATCTAGACTTGACATAATTTTTCTATAATGTACGTGATGGATATAAGGCCGAGTAAATCTATAAATAAAGAAATAAGAGGCCCAATATTCTAATTGTAATTAAATAAATGTATTAATACCCAAAAGAATGGGAATGATATATAAAATAACATGAGTGATGCGGAGGATAATGTGTTAGGAACAAAGATATCTAACGTAGTCCGGTCTAATCTGGCCTACATCCACAGGGGAAACTAGGGTTTGTATTATTGAGTGATAATGATTACGAGTACAGGAGAATATATATATAGACAACTAATTAGGGTTTAACCCTTGCTGAACAAGTTATAGCAAACTAGGCTTAAAACCATTTCGGGCCAATGACTACACATCACCAACAATCTCCCACTTGGAGTCTTTGCACCAAACTTTGGCTCCTCTCTCTATTTCTGTAAATGAAAAATCCTCCTTGATCTTCACATCTCCCTAGTTGCCCCTCTCCTCAACACTATTCCAGGAGACAAGCTGAAGCTATGCAAAGCTTTAGCTTATCCAGCACCACAGACTTTGTGAACATATCTGCTGGACTCTTAGTACCTGAGATGTTCTTCAACTTGATTGATCCATTACTGATCAATCCTCTCTTAAGTGATACCTCATCCCGATGTGCTTCATCTTGCCATAATAAACTGGATTTTTAGCAAGTTTCACCGAGCTCTCATTGTCACAGTGCAATAAGTAATCAGACTGCTGTTTTCTCAACTCTCTAAGAAAAGTCTTCAACCAGACTAGTTCTTTACTTGCCTCTGGAACAACCATATACTTGGCCTCTGCCGTAGATAACGCCACACTTTTCTGAAGTCTAGAATTCAGCTCGCTGCTGTTCCTCCCCTGTAAACCTGTAGTGCTCTTAAATGTCTCTTTACAACCACCCAAATCAGCATATGTAAAACCTCTGAGAATAGCATCCTTCCCTCTGAAACATAAACTCATTTTCTGAGTTCCCTTCAAAATCTAAGTATCCATTTGACAGCTTCCCAATGTTCTCTACCCAGATCTGACATAAATCGACTAACAACGCCAACGGCATGAGGAATATCTGGTCGAGTGCAAACCATGGCATACATGAGGCTCCCAACCGCTGATGCATAAGGAACTTTAGCCATTTCTGATCTTCCTTTTTCAGATTTTGGTAACTGTTCTTTGGTCAGCTTCAAATGGCTTCCCGATGGGGTACTTCTAGGCTTGGTCTTCCCGTCATTCATCTTGAATCTCTCTTACACCTTCCCTATGTATTTTTCCTGGGACAATGTTAGAGAACCATCCTTGCTCATCCCCAGTATTTTTTTGGCGGACCCAAGTCTTTCATCTCAAATTCTTGAGACATTTCTTTTTTCAATTTGCTTATTTCTTTCATATCAGATCCCGCAATCAACATATCATCAACATATAAAAATGAGATGATATAGGAGTTGTTGAATTTCTTCAGATAGCAACAATGGTCCACCTCACATCTTTTAAACCCCGACCTCTCCATGAAGTTATCAAACTTCAGGTACCACTGTTTAGGTGCCTGCTTAAAGACCATATAAGCTCCCTTTCAGTTTGCGGACCTTATTTTCTTTGCTGGCAACCTGAAACCCTTCAGGTTGTGCCATGTAAATGTCTTCATCTAGATCACTTGTAGAAAAGCCGTTTTCACTTTTCACATCTAGTTGCTCTTGATGTAAATTCTCTGTTGCTACAATACTCAAAACTAACGTGATGGTTGTCATTTTCACCATTGGAGAGAAAATCTCATCACAATCAACCCCCCTTTTCTGCTGAAACCCCTTGACCACTAAACAGGCTTTATACTGTTTAGACCCATCATGCTCTTCTTTGATCTTGAAGACCCATTTATTGACTAATGCTCTCTTACGTCGCGGAAGCTTAACCAAAACCCAAGTTTTGTTGTTTTTTAGAGAGCTCATCTCGTTCTTCAATGCATGCTCCCACTGGAGAGAATCTTTCATCTTGACTGTCTTGGAGTAGCTTTCTGGTTCATCATTTTTTGTCAAAAGAATATATTAAACTGAAGGACTATACCTATCTGGTTTCTTTGTAACTCTGGTGGACCTCCGTCAGTCTGGTCAGATTGTTGTGGGGATTGTTCATCTTCAGACTCTGAACTCCTAGTGTCAGAGGCTACCTCTGATTCATCATTTCCATCGACTTCAAACTCTGGAACTCTGTCGACAATTGTTTAAGTTTCTTGTTCGGAAATCGGTTCAAGAACCAGCGTAGCTCCCTGGTTTTTCTGCTCTTATCTCAAACTCAACCTGCTGTTTGTGAACCTTAGAGTTTGATTCCTTTGTCTTTGTACAATTCAGCCTCATTGCACGTTGCATGTTTACTTTTGACTTCCTTTTTGCTTTCAAAGTCCCAAAGCCGGTAGCCTATCTTGTCTGACCCATAGCCAATAAGGGTGTACTTCTTGGCCTTTGCATCTATCTTATCACCATCTTGATCCAAATCATAACCACTGCACCCGAAAACCTTTAGGGGCTTATAACCAACTACTTTACCCTTCCATTCTTCTTGAGGTTCTTTTAAACCCAACAGAATTGAAAGTGATTGGTTGATTAGGTACGTAGCAGTGTTAATTGCGTCTGCCCAAAACATCTTTGGGAGCCCTGCATTTAGTCTCATACTTCTGGCTCTCTCGTTTAGAGTTCTATTCATCCTTTCTGCGACTCCATTTTGTTGAGGAGTGCGTGGAAACAATAGTTCATGAACTCTGTGCTAATGTACTCCCTCCGTTGTCCGATTTCAAGCAATTCACCTTCAGACCAGTTTCAAGTTCAATGGCAGATTTCCATTTCTAAAAAATATCAAATACGTCAAATTTACTTTTAAGAAAATAAACCCATACCTTGCGTGTGGCATCGTCTATAAAGGTCACATAGAATCTCGAGCCTCCTAGCGATTCAACTCACGTTGGACCAAAAACATATGAATGAATAAGCTCTAACATCTGAGCTTTAGGTACTCTCCCCGTCTTCGCAAAAGATACCCTCTTTTTCTTTCCATAAACACAAGGTTCACAGAAATCAGATTCAACTTTCTTTAGGTTTGGAAGCTTTCCTTTGGCAACAAGCATTTTCATCCCTGTTCACTCATATGGCCGATTCGTTGATGCCACAACTTGGATAGACTCAGCCCACTAGTTAGTGCATTAGCATCTCTTGCAGTTGTCTCAGCCATGTACAAAGTACCCCGTTTCTTTCCCTTAGCAATTACCATACTTCCATTGACAAACTTCCATTGTCCATCCCCGAAGTGAACATTATACCCCTGGTCGTCCAATTGCCCAATGAAAATTAACATCTTTTTCAATTTGGGAATTACTGTGACATCTTTCAATGTCCAAATTGTTCCCAAGTTGGTTTTCAAGTCAATGTCTCCCACCCCAGTAGTACCAGCATTTGATTATTAGCAAGACTTATAGTACCAAAGTTGCCTTGTCTGAGATTCTTCATCTTTCTCGAACTAGAGATAGCATGAAATGACGCACCTGAGTCCATAATCCAGGACTCGACTGTGTCCTCTACACCATGGTTGTGAATGGCAAGTGGCGAGTGGCGGGCAAGAGGCGTGGCGAGCGGCGGGCGGTCAAATAGTAAATACACACACACATAGATATATATATATATATATGTATGTATGTATGTGTAAATATATATATATATAGATTTTGGTTCTAGTGAGAGTGCAATCTTATTAAAGAAATGAGAATGAATCTGGTGCTTTAGATTGTGAGATCTAAAAGTCAGGATTGCATCAAAATTAGGTGCACCAAGATGGTTTGAAAATGCATCACGTCAAAATGCACCATAATCCTTTGAAAATGCACTATCTCAAAATCTGAGTGCAGGATGCAATCTGAGCCGCACGATGCATCAAATCCAAAGGCTAGATTTTATTCTTATTTCTTTCACCAAGGTGCATTCTCACTTGAACCAGCCCCTATATATATGTGTGTGTGTGTGTGTGCGTGCGTCCGTGCGTGCGTGCGTGTGTGTGAGATTATCAAAGTAAGACATGAGTTATTGGTAAAACAAAAAACAAACCAATGTTTCAAGCTATTAGTCATTAAGCATTGCAAAATATAGTACTTAACAAGAAAGCAACATAAATAATTAGTACAAAAAAATATATCTATAAGAATATAATAATACACATAGTGAAAAAGAACAAGACTAGAAAAACTAAACAAATTAGTGACATAAATACATAATCTGTGACCTCCAGTTGTGTCAATCAAGCAAACAAGACATTAAACAAAATCTGAAAATCATAATAATTATAATAATCATCATCATTACACATTATATGGGTTAAAAAAATCAATTTAAAAAAAAATTTAGAATATTATCTATGGAGTTGGGCCTGAATCCAAAGAGAGAGAGGAGGGTGTGACCTG